ACTCGCGTTCTCTTGTATCGATTTTCTTACTCTAATGACCAAGTTATAAGTTTTACACACACACATTTTTTCGTGCTTGAAAAGGACCAAAACCAATGGCCGGAACGTCGCACTATTAACCCAGATAGCCAGTGTGCTCAAGCAATGTATGGAAATAAAATGCCAGCAACCGATGCTTCGCTAAGAATATGAATTTAAAGTTTGGGTGATTTAAGTACAGCTAACATAATGTTACCATACTGTCGTAGTTACACCATCAGAAAGGATTTCTGTTACCGAGACAGACGATATTCTTGACGCATTTATATTTCTCACAACCTCATTTAGTATAAAAATAAGACAACATCAAAATAAAATCAATAATTCTTATTCTCCTCTGTCGAATTAGAAAAGATTGACTTACTATGTTGAGACAAGAGTAACTTGTATAAATGTAAGTTTATATATTCTTGCGTTTAGAATAAATTTTCTCTCCATCTTACAACGCACGAAATTGTGACACCACAATATTCGACTAAAAACGATACATGAATCATTTTATTCTAAATTTTAGAATTTTTCATTTAAGATTAAAATATTCCTTTCTCTATAAAAAATATGATTGTCGCTATATGTCGATCCTATTTTATGATAACATTCAAGTGTAATAGCATTGGATCCGGAAATTTTTTCTGTGGGTGTAAGTGCACTTTTTTTATTAAACAGACTTCACTCCAAGAGCAATAAATTCACAGTGGAACCAACGGATGATACCTATTGATGTAGCAGAAACTCCGCTGTCTCTTGTTAGGATCCTATCTCATAATAGAGGGGGGGGGGGGACTTTCCTCTACTTTTCCCTTCTACTCTTTCACGCGGTGCGTCTGTCGATGAAAAACCGTCCGCGGTCCGGTAATTACGATCTTCGCGAGTACCAGTGGAGACAATTAATTCTGACAGACCGCAGAGCCGAGCTTCGTCCGTCCGAGTGACGATACACCGCCGCCGGGTTGCGCTCGGGCAAACTAGTAATTATCCGGAATAATTGGACGCGTTCATTCGGGGGTTTGATAATTCCCGCGGATACATGGCGGATTTAACTGGAGCCCGGCAACTTTTCGCGACGACGCGACGACGTCCGGTTCGGCCGCGGACAGCCTCGCCCACGTAATAACGCGATTTCGCTCGGCGGGGAGGTGAACGGGGAATGGAGTGGATCGACACGCGAGATGGAGTGGATCCGGCTTGAAACAGTCCCGAGCCCTTCGAACCTCTCCGTTTTCCGCGTCGATGCCCACCGACCAGCTCGAGCGTGAGAATCGTTCGCTGAAAGTCCATCGCGTGGCAATATAAGCACGGAGGGAAAACGGAAGAAAAAGAGGAAAGCGAAGGAAAGCAGATTCCGGGATATACGTCGCACGTCGCGCCAATCGGTCTGTCATTTCGGCCTTACGGTCGCCTTACGTGAAGTCGATGTCGCATCCACCGACGGCGACGTGGGACCCGATGTTGCGCGAGAGGAAAGGAAGAGCGTGCTTCGTGGACATTAATTTATGATCGGTCGTTTATATGCGGGAAACGTAAGCGGCGAACTGCGCGAGTAAACGACGATCCTCTGAAATACCGCGATCTTTTCGATAATTTATCTTTACCACTTACGGCTAAGCACTTTCCGTTTTAGTAGCGATAAAGCCGAAAATAATCGATTATGCGATACTGGCGGTGGGCGTTGCGAGTTAAGCAGGATCCAAGTATTATGTTGTCAAATACCGCAAACGCCCGTAACTCATTTTATCGCGTGTATACTCGCATATTTATACACAAAGATTATTTCCGTGAAGACTCGAAAGTTAAATTGCCTTTTTCATCCTTTTGCCCAGTTCATATTTCGTCCACGTAAAAGATAGAATGGATGGGCCAGTGACGTGGCATTATAGCGGGTCCAGCGGGTATTGCCAATAAAACCGGAACGGTGACTGACAAGCGGATATAAAACCGCGGACTTAATAACTGCCCGGGAATGTTACCGAATAATTATAGTTTCCAGGATACGGCGAGTGTATATTCCGTCCCGCGGATGGAATCCCGCCGCGGCCGACAGGTCGATACGACTTCTATTCGATTTTTCGCGAGAATCAACCTATCGCTCGTGGCTCGAGCCACTCGTGAAAGGAAATAACCGGCAGACGGTCGCGAGCCTGTGTGCAATTGCACCGCCAATAAAGCGGCGGAGCCGGGCGGGCGATAAAGCCGAAGTAGCACGACGGATTCGGTAATTCGCCGCGATTGCGGGCCGGGGGGACCGCCGGTCGGCGGCCGCGAATTTGCGAGGCCGCTTGCTTATGCGGCGAAATTGATAACACGGCCCCGCCCCCGCGGCGACCTCCGAGGCGCCGCGCGATAAAACTGCGCGAAGGATTAGCTTAAAAGGGCGCCGGAATTTTATTGCCGTTGTGCTCCGAAATGATATTGCCGCGGCCGCGTAGTCGCGGATTCGGTTATTCGAGCCCGAGTAATTTAAAACGGGGTATAAAACCGGCGGGGCTTGCTGACTAAGCTCTCGCGACGACTCCCTTTTTTCCCCTCTTCTTGCCGGGCGTATTATGGATATTTTATGAAAAAGCACGATAATGATATTTGGGCGCACAAAAGTGCGCCCCGCACCTCGCCGCGACTGTAAAATTGCAGGGAAGAAGAATGGGGGGGGGGGGCCCTCTATCGCGAGAGATTAATCACGCGCGCGTCTGTGTCCTCGAAACGGTTCGTGCTTTTCGAGCGATTGTCGTTATGAAGAATGATATTGCCCTTATTACAGACCGTAATTGGTATTCGCGTTTCTTTTTTCAACCCAAGCGTGAACTGTAATTGCTTTGTTAAGGGGCGACGATGGCGTTTGGATTTTTCCGTTCGCGGTGAAAAATTGCAAATTCAACAACTCCGACTTCGTTTAAAGCTTTGTTTAAAATCAACATTAATTTATATGGCGCGACGTCCGTACACGTGTCGCCGTGGTAGACAGAAGTGTTTCCAGAATCCGGACTGGGAAAACAGACTGAACCGGGAGGGAACAACACGGAAAATCTGGAACCGAGCGGAGTAATTTTCTCTAGACAAGACACCGCTCCGTTGTCGTTACGAAGAATGATATTCCACTTATTACAGATCGTAATTGGTACTCGCGTTTCTCTTTGAAATCCAAGCGTGAACTGCAATTGCTTTGTTAAGGGGCGACGATGACGTTTGGATTTTTCCGAACCAACGTTCGCAGTGAAAGATTACAAATTCACGAACTCCGGCTTTGTTTAAAATCAACATTAATTTATATGGCGCGACGTCCGTACACGTGTCGCCGTGGTAGCACAAAAGTGTTACCAGATTCCGGTCTGGGAAAACAGACTGAGACGAGAGGGAGTGCAGCACGGAAAATCTGTAACCGAGCGGAGTAATTTTCTCTAGACAAGAGATCGCTCCGTAAACCCTATCCGGATTGATACGCGCAATAAATCACGAGCTAGAAGCACCGAGAGATCCAGCTGAGTCCCGTTCCTCTCGCCTTGGCGGCGTTAACGGCCGTGCCGAACATCTTTCTGGCCGATTTGCGGTTCATCAATCCGACGGTCGACAGGTGGATGCTCGTCATGCCGTCGATTAAATGCCGATTATGCCGGCGCGATAATTTAACGATGATCCAATTAGTCGCGGTGAGGTTAACAAATACGAAATCGCAAACATCGCGATTATATTACCATTTAATTGACCCCCCGCCGCGAGTACGTACATTTCGGAACAATATTTTCACGCTCGCGCGACGCGCGGCTCGTATGAAAATATTTATCGCGATGTAAATGATGTTCGAACGCATTTTCAATTCGACCATATCGATGGCAAAGTTCGTTCATCGCGCGGCTGTTTATTTCTGCGTCGCCGCCAGTCTGTTTCCCGCGAGTCCGTGCCGAACGGTCGCGTCTGCAAAACGCATTATTATCCGGCACGGGGCAATGAATAAATCGTTGAGCTGCATTCGGATGCGTGTGACAACGTTTTAATATTTCAGCGAACGGCTCGCGAATTACATGTTATTGACGTCCAAGTTTTATCTTTGTTTGCGCGCAGAATTGTGTATAACGCTGATCTCGCGCGGCCTCTTTTAAGCCTTGTGTCCACGATTCAAGAACTGTGTCCAAGTTCTAGTTCCGAGAAATGCGTAGCCAATCACCTTGCAGCTTTTATGGAATAGCTGCAGGTTGATTGGCTGCACATTTCTCGAAACTAGAACTTGAACCAAGTTCTTGGATCGTGGACACAAGGCTTTAGGACGCGAGCCACGTGTCGGGAGGGCACGGTTCGACGAGCTTTCATAATTTCCCGTCCATATCGGGGAGTTTCCCCGCAGCGAAGGCTGTTATCGAAAAATTTCGCCACGTCACGAAAGCGCGCGAAACGTTTGTCACTGTAACGCGACGGCGATACCCTCGAGGATTTTCGGAATGATCGGCGAGCCTCAACGGATACGTGGACACAAATTAAATTACGGGCGAATTTTACGAATCGATCTCTCGCCGCGATCGCCAGTCCGCCTTTCTTTGGTAATTTCGCCAGTAGATACTGGCGAATGGAATATTGAATTAATAACGACATATGGTATTCAATTTTATTACGTGCATTAACGTGTTCAATATGTGCGACACGTATATCAAATGCTAAATCCCACTTTCGTCTAGTATTTTTGTAATATTTAACTCTCCAGGGCGTATAATAATTTTTGGACACACATCCCGGTGGCTATCTCTTTCGGTAATTTACGATCATAAAAATGCAAAGTTATGTTAATGAAGAAAGACGAGTGCAATTTTCTTCACTGGCGCGGGGTTTTATCAGCACCATATAAACTTTCACCCCGGGCTATTAACGGCACTATTTAAATTTTTAATAGTCGAGAACGTAGTGTACATTTCTCTCGAATGCAGGGAATTTTTATTCAGGGCTTTGAATTCAGTTCGGATGAAATATTTTGGTTTCAGCTCGCATGGAGGAGGAGAAGGGTGCGTCGAATGTACAGATCCTTTGGGCGGCCTGTCAAGCCTTGGCTAGAACAGTGAGACTCGCGCCGCCGGGTGTACCAAAGGATAAAGCAATTAAACCGCTGGAACCCGAAATTAAGGCTGTCTCCAGGGCAGCACGTAAGTACTTTGATTAAACCTAACCTTTAGCATGTACTAAAAAAATTAATTATTTAATTAGCTGCTTGATTAATTAAAGATATCGCGCCGAAATTTCAATTTCTAAATCTTAACGCACGAGTAATATTTATTATGTAAAAATATGCGCCCTCCTGTTTCTCGCGGATGATAATTTATTCGAGATTTTAGTATGCGCATGTATGCTAACTTACGCGCATTTGAGTGCACTTGCCTTTCAAACGAAGAAGAAATAACGCGATGAGCACCCCAAAGTAATTTCGTATTACGGCGGGCTGCGGTTTGCGTCTGATACAAAATACGGCGAATAACTTCTGAAGTAGCGCGAGGAACTTAGAAACGCGAAGCGTGGACTTTGCAGCTGCGGAGCCGCGTTGCCGCATTTCTCGTGTACCGCAGTCGCCCAGAATTATATTACTTGTATAATATTAATTTGTATACATTGTGATTATGATTATTATTACTGCGCGTTTTTCGCAAATAAATTTCGTCGATTTTGCGCCCGGCTGAGTTAATTAACTTGATAGCGTAGACTCTCGCGTGCGTTATTATCCCTGAAACATTAAGTACATACGCGTGCACGATTGCAGAGCATGTCTGGTATCTAAATTAATGAAAGCCTAACCGCCCGCTGTCTCTTGTACTCTATTGCAGCTTCTCTTCTCTTTTTCACAACGGCCGAGCAATTTATCTAAATTCCAGTTTAATGTTTATTTATAAATCTCCATTATTATTTTTGCCCGCCGATATCGAACATTTTTATTTTTGTGCAGGATATTTGTGTTATTGTTTCATCTTTCAAATTTTTTTCGGCGTGACATAGCGCCGTTTCCAACGCGTCGGAACATGCTTTCAATAGCACTTTGCTGCACAACAATAGTACACGAGCGTATAAAAGCCGAGATTCACATATTTCATCTGGTACCTCTTCTCTGTATACTTTTTCCATAGATATAATTTGTCGTATATATGCACACACACGCGCGCGCACTCCCCCCCTCTCTCTCTCTCTCTCTCTCTCTCTCTCTCTCTCTCTCTCTCTCTCTCTCTCTCTCTCTCTCTCACTCTCTCTCATATTACTAAATAGAGCTTCGTGTCTTGCTACTCACAATACTTTATCGCGATACTAGCAATCGTCAATTAGAATTAGAAATACGAGCACTACCAGGACCTGTGAAGTTGATTGTTGTATTGGCATTGGCCTGCTCTGCGTTAATCAAGATGTAATCTAGTTTGAAACTGCGAGCGCGAGGAAAGAGTATTATTCCAGCTTTTGGAGTGTTATAGCAGCTTTTCTCCTCCATTCGGGAACGAGTTCCGCACGCGCTTTTAATCGCTCGGTCGCCCACCGCCGCCGCCGCCGCCGCGTCCCAGCAATTCCGCGCTCCGTTCCAGGGACCGCTTTCGTTTCCGAACCGAGTATGAAAGGCTGGAACAATAGAGACGACGTCGGGGTCTCTCCTTCAAATCGAGTGCGTGTATGTGGGCCACACGAGCCGCGCGGGTAAGAGCGGAGCAAGGCTAAGTGCGGCACGGAAGAGAGCACCGAAGATTTACGGCTTAATCGGAAGCGAGCGGGACCTTCATAAAGGCTGGGCATTTCAAAAGAGCCCTGTGTCGGCCTGATGGAGCGCCGCGCGCATGTTCATTAATTATGCCCCTACACCGCGCACATTCGCCCTTAATTGCGCCAAGTGTCTATAAATTTTTTCCCAAGCGCTTTCGCCGTTTTAATCTCCCGCCGCCAAGTCACCTTCGTAATTTCAATTTTCGCTCAAACTTGCGGCCGATAATTACACAAGCGGAGGCGCGTTCTCGAGGCGAGATTCTAATCAACGGCCTCGCAAACCACTGGCGTAAATGTGCGATTATCCGACGTATAAAAACATCCCTCGCCATACAATATATTTATCATCGTATGCACGTTGCTCGCGATAACTAAATGCAACCGCAACCTGAAACGTGTATCCATAGCGCGTTTGTAGGTGCAATGTAAGCAATACGTTCAATATTATGGAAAAACGTAGCCAGAACGTTGTGGGTACGATTGCCACAAAGCAAATTGGACTACAGCGCAAATTCGGTTATTGCGAATAACGTACGTACGCTGATTAATTTTGCTCGCCGGGATTCTCGAAATGCCGGCCGAGCGGACCAAAAATCGACGGTCAATTGGTACTTGAATTAATTAAACAGACCGCCGGAGAGAGCCGCCGTGCGTTCGCATCGATTCAGTTTTTCCTTTTCCTTTGATTCCAGCGAAGGAGGATCCCCTGGTGCGCGCCGCTATCCAGAGCATTCCCGAGGAAGCGGCCAAGAGAGGCGTGTTCCCGGAGGATACCCTCCGCGAGAGGTTCCTCAAGGTAATTACCGTGTTTCCCACATTCTTTAGAATCGGGATGCTTTCACGTGTTCTACCTTCGTGAGATGATCCTCGGGAGCGCTGCTCGCTAAGCACGCGAATTGACTAGCGAACAAACGTTGCGATTTTACATTGCATCTTGCAATATAACAAGTTATATGCACACACATATCTGAGACCATCCGTACACCCTTTTTATTTCGGAAACAGAGCATCTTAGAGAAACATATTTCAGACAAAAGTTGTATGGTTTCGAGGCGGCCATAAGATGGTACCATTGGTTCGACCTTGAATAGTTGCTTGAAGGCCACCTTTAATTTTTTTAATGGAACCCCTTATTGTTTATTGTACTATCTTATTCTATTAATTAATATGAACAATTTTTGTCTGAAATATTTTCTGATTCAATGTTTAGCTTATTATATCTCGATAACTGTTTGTCGGAGGGAAAAGTGGTGCAGGGCTTTTTTACTTTTTCGTATCAAGTTCAAAATTTATTACGTTCCGTAGACCGCCACATAATCGCTTCCCAAAGTTTCCGCTTTCATTTTCAAATTTTACATCGGCTCGCGGAATCCCTTTATGTAAATATCAATTTTTGAAAATGGCTCGCTCGTTGTGCATTACCAGGTAGAGAGCGTGGCGAGAAGATTAGCCATGGTGCCTGAAGGCGGCGCAGCCCTGCCTATATATCTTCTTAGTTATCTTCAAAGTTTCTTGATCATCAAAACGGCCAATTCAATTCCGAAGAGGGAGCTTGAAGACGAGCCAATCGACGTAGACTCGCTGAATACGTACGACATACTCCAGCGTGCCAGGTAAGAATTCTCGTAAATTGCTAAAGACTCCCTATCCTCGTAGACGAAGAGCACGAATGAATTTATCGTACGCGTGGAAACTCGAGATTGTAAACGAGGCGAAATACCTTCTCCAATATCTGTTTTATCGCGAATTGATTATATGGTATTTCCCCTCTTACAAATTTCTCGAATTCCGCCAAGTTTACGATACGAAAACGGCGCGGGACCCGAAAGTAAACAGCAGCGGCGCGAAATTGTCGATGCTGGACACCGACAGAATTTATCGTGTCGCCGATTAAATGCACTTTTATTGTACTCGTAACTCGAGCGGCAATTTCCGCGTCACGCAGGGCCCTCCGTCTCCCTTTCTCTTGTTCGCCCGGGTTGACCCTATAAATTATCCTTACGAGACCCTAAGGACTGGGTAGGGCGCAATATATCCGGCCGGCCATCAACGAGGCGGGAAAGACGAAAACACCTGCCGTAATACCCGCCACGTACACTTTGACAAAGAACACCGCCATTTACTACTCGTCGGGTTATCCCCGGCGAAATCCGCTGGCGAGCCGTTTTACCGACTTATCCCTTCGTTTTTCTCGTGTCAGCGGCCCTTTGCTTTCCGGCCCTTATAGAAGATACCCTCGATTTATCCTGGGTAGCGCTAAATAAAGATAAGCATACGTGCACGCCCCCGCAGGGCGTGTGTGCCGCGGCTCGCCCAAGTTTATTTTTTCCAAGGAAAAATATTACGTATCCCATAGAAGTATTGTACAATCGCATTTTGTTTCGTTAAAACCCACGGCGGTAAAGGTTCGCCGGGAAGAATGGAGCGTGCGAAAGCGCTCGGCTGCAGATTTCTGAGAGAAATCGTCGTTAAAGTTTCATGCTGACGACTCGAGTTTCTTGTGCCGCTGTGAGAAAACGGTTTTAGCGCGTAATGACGGTGTCCCGATGTTCGAGCGGTCTCATCGCGAGATCAAAAATCTGGAGAGCAGCGGCGTTTTCACTCGTGCGAAAAATTCACCTCTCGATCGCGCGTCAACTGCGACGGAAGAGTCGCGGGTGTTTGGGAAACGCCACGCGCGGAGATCTTTAAACCGCCACGGGATCGCTGGAGGAGCAATCGGCCAGCATCTCCCGCGCGCGTCACAAAGGGATAGTTTTACATACTTGAAAGTACTCGCTCGTCACTCGTTGTGCCTCGCGAGACGTCGAGTGTCGGCAAGCGAGCGAAGGAAAATACACCCCGACTTTCCCGGCGGTTTATACTGGCCAGCTTCTCTTATCTTATACGCGTCGCTACGCCTCGTGCCTATCCCCCGCGAATTAAAAATACATTATTCGGGATATCTCGCGAATGGATCGCGAAGGGGAGAGGAAAAATGTCAGGGTTCGTCTATTCGAAAATTTTGCGGGGCATAAATTTGCGTAGCACGGCGTGGCGCGAGAAAAAGATCGCGGTTTCTTCGAGTAGAGACTTCTTTTTCTCAGTGTATAATGTTTTCACACACACGTTAGTCTCGTGTATTTCACAGAGCGGAGCTTGCAGCGATACGCGCTCTCTTAATCAAAGCTATTCCGCGATGCAATTTGAGTTGTATTCTTCCCTCGCTCGTCAGACAACGGTGTGGCCTGGTGAATACTTAATTATTCTATCAAGAACACTTTTCCTTCCCACGCGCAGATACAAAGCAAGCCGGACGAGCGTTAACGTGTACAGCGGCTGCGCGTTACGAGTGGCGCACGGGGACGTGAATAAATAATACGTCGCTGATGCGAGCGGCACGCTTTATCAGCGGGCTAAGTCTCGGGCCGGCCTCTACGGCGCCGGGTCGAAATAAGTTATGCCTCCGGAATTGCCGATATGTGCAACGTAGGTAGCCCGCGCGACACGTTTGCCGAACGAACCACGTGCCGGGCCGAAGCCCGGACGTGGGCCTTCTGAATTTTTAATTTCGGAGCGCACTGCGGTATGCACACACTCTTTCAACGCCCGCGGGTAAAACTCCCGGGCTGTCGGGTGGTGTACGGTCGATATATCACGGGAATATACCCGTAAAAGATTTCGCGGGTTTGAAAAGGGCACCATTGTTTCAACTTTGAGCAGCGATGAATGAATATTTCACGGATGCGCTCTAAAATTCAACTCCCCCCTCAACTTTCGTTCGATTAATTGGAGGCACGCACGACTGTAATTGCGTTACGGACGTAAGTGGGTCTGTATTATTCGTTATTTTACAGTTATCCGCATTTTATTCCGAGCAACGGGAGTTACTTATTCCCTTCCTTAACTCCTCGCTGCATAGCGTTATTTCTGGTGGCACGCTTATTATATATATATATATATAAAAAATTGGATTTATTGAAAAAATAAACTTGGACTTATATATATATAATATAAACTTATATATATATATATATATATATATATATATATAAGTTTATATTATATATATATAAGTCCAAGTTTATTTTTTCAATAAATCCAATTTTTCACGTATTCCCTCGGCATATTTGGTATTACTGGACCGCTAAAAGGATCCTCTAACTGACAAATCGATTTTTAGAGCTATATCTTGAATAAATAAATTAGTTAAATATATAGCGAAAAATTGGCATTTTTAGAGAATTAATTCGCTTACATAAAATTTTGTCCTGTAATCTTATACTTCAAAATCATGGTCTGTAATCAGCGACCGCAAAAACTTCCCTAGTAACAAGTTTTACAAAATAATATTCACTAGAAAAAACAGCGTGCAACATAGGGTTAAATCGACGAATTAGGACGGGATTTTTTAATGGATACAAACAATGAACTATGTCGAGAGATGTGAAATTGTTGATTATCTGTTAATTCAAATCAAAGTTGAAACTAAAGCGTTTCTCCCTTTACTGTGAAATATATTTATATAGATGAGATTTTTTTAACTAACGAAAGTTTTAAATTTTTACACAAAAGATTTCTCTCTTAAAAGAATTCAACGGATAAAAATACAGAAATGCAGAATCCTTCGTCTTAAGGGATAGTCTAATTATCACGAGAAGTCCATATCGCGCATCGCAGCGCCGGAACGATCGGTCGGCGACAAGAAACCCGAGCTTATCCGCGATCTACAGCGCAGGAACTCACAAAAACGAGGGATCTTCTTAATAGATCCGGAAGATCCGCTGGCTCGTGTCAGCGAAGGCCAAGCAGAAAAGTTGCCGCGAAACGATATCGCCGAATATGAAATCTGAAGGCAGCAAGAAACTTCAGTATCCGCGATCATTGCGCGTCCGTGCCCCGAATTGGGCCACGTGGACTACGTAGGAGAGTCGATCTCAAGATACCGAAGGGACGAATAAACGTTCCACATCGCGCTGTACCGCGCCGGGCCGCGTCCCATTTCACGTAGCCGTTTCTGTGGAATCTCTTGTAATGAGAAGATAGGCAGTGTAGTTTCCGACGTACGTTAGTTGATCCTCTCGGGTTTTCTTTGAAAGCTCCAATCTCAACAGCAGACTGGCGTATGATCGAACACGATCCCATAATGAGCAATTAATTCTTAAGTTAACTGATGCTCATCAGCATCGCTAATATTAAATTAACTACTACTTTAATAATATTATACATTTCCAGCTTTTTTTGAACACTTTGTTTCAAGACAAGAATAATGTTTGGAACTAAGAACATAACGGGATTTGGATAATTCATCCCAATGCAAAGACTAGTTAATATTTTCCGTCTTTTACAAACTGTTGCTGTCTTTCTAGTCTGCCTTTCACTTTTATCATGTTGCTGTAAATCATAAACAGAATTAATAGCTACGTTGTGACTTAGAAACCGCGATATTGTGGCGCAACAAGAGGAAAGGTTGATTAATTTTTAATTGTGTCGTCTGTTCGTGTAGAAATCCTCTCGCGCCACTTCGGAAACATTGGCACATTTTTCTTTCTGCCTTCCTAATCTACCGGGTAAGCCGAGTTGCGCCATTAATCTCACTTTACCGTATCGGAAGCGACTCGGTGTACGCTGTGTAAATTTTCCAGCCGATGTTCTATCCCGCATGCGGTTTTCTCTGGGAGGCTCGGTGTTTCTGCGCCGAGAGAAAAGCGACATCCGCTGGATATCACCAACTTAATCCTAAGCCGGTGAATAAACGTTTCGTTCCCCGAACGAACAAACGAATGAACAAACGATTCGCAGAGAGTGCCAGTCTGGCCAGGGACGAAGTTTTTAGCGAACCGCAGCTTCCCTTCCTCCAAATCGGCGTTTCCTTTTAGAAGGTCGCGTCTGATAGCGCGGCTTCCGGCTACCGGATGTCGCCAACTATTCCGCCGCGAGTACCTTTCGCCAAACTATACAATCCCTCCGGCATTTCCCCGAAAAGGGAGGAAGAGAAGGAAAGAGGAGAAGGAGAAGTACGAAACAGCGGGTACGTTCTCGTCTGTCTCGAAACTCCGGGATGAAGTGGCCAGCAACCGGTTGTACTCGTGAATAACCATAGAGAAATCGGCCAACAAATCTTCCACGCTGATTGCTTCCCGCAAATTGCGGGCCGTGGCCGCGCGTTGTGTTTGCGAAGCATTCGATTATATCGAATTAACAAGTCGATATGAATTTATCCAAAGATATTATCGAAGCAGTTAAACTGCGCCGTGCAAATGGAAATACAAATGGAATTTGTCCGATGACGAGTGTCGCCGTTTCGCCGCGGGCTCTGAACATGTCGGCCTTGACTGCTTGTTTCAGATACTGGCTGGATCGCGGCGACTTCAAAATGACCCTGAAGTACATGAATCTACTCAAAGGTGCGCCCAGAAGCGTAGCCAGCGACTGGATGAACGAGACGAGGATCCTGCTGGAGACGCAGCAAGCGATCGACACCCTGTTGGCGTACGCAGGTGCGACCGGTCTCCTGTATCTCGGCGCCGGTGATCCCGCCAAGGTCAGTGCACTAAGTTACAGCCCCTTAAACAAGCAGCGCGATTAGATTACGCTCTTACGATGTACCAGCCGGGAAGTGCGTGTTTCCAGTAATTAATAGCCACGGGACTTCTCGCATTATTGGGAAACGATAGTTCGCTTATTAAACAATATATTTTCATATAGTACAGGTATAGTTTTCCTTTAATAGCGGTTGCAGCACGGACGAGATTAATTACATTTATTTGTTGCCGAGAAATTTATTTATTGCGCCATGTACAATAATTGCAACAAGCAGAATATTGTTTGCAGCTTTTTTTCTTGTTCTCCAGAAAGCATTTTTTGCCATTAATTTGTGCGAATGAATTTACTTGACGTCATCGTTTCTTTTGATATATAAAAGCATCTCGATTGTCAGTGTACTCTTCGGTGTACAAAAGAGCGTTTACGGTAATTGAAGGTGGATCCGTGACCGTCCCTTCACTTTCCTTTCGGCGTTGTCCGAATTGTTCCAGCAGAAGTAAAGCGGGCGGAGAGCGTAGAAAACTGTCCCGAACTACGAGACGGGGGCGTCCATAGAAGAATGGGGCGGGGGTGACGGAGGGGAACAGGGGAGAGTTGACCGACAACGGCGAAGAGAACGAAGGGAACGACGAACACGGAGATATCGCTGCCAGCCTTGTATAGTCAACAATATCTTTTCTAGCAATTAAAAAATAGGTATATTGCGTGCCGGGAGAGGCGAATACAGAGGCACACGCTTTTCATTTCCATCCTCACGATCATTGCACGTAAATACACTTCCGCGCGCGTTACGACACTGCCTAGACTCGATTTAAATTTTTTCGGGACATCAAGTGCACACGGGAGGAATTTTAAGTATCTCGAATGTAGATTTCGAGAGCGCCGTGTCGAACAGAGCAGCGATACGGGGCTGGCGAAATGTTTTATTCGACACCATTTAATTTAAATGAACCCTTTATCCGATAAATTCGCTTTGCTTATCACGCCGAGTTTTCCATCCAGGGAAGAGTCCGAGACCTGACGGTCCGCCGAAGCAGTCGTGCACGAAAGCCGGCGCATGTCAAACATTTATTTTTGCTCGCCGGCTATTTCGTCCGCGAGTAACGAATCGCGACGGAGTAGAAGGCTACCGGACGCAGCGCAAATACCGGAGGCAATCTTGTTTTAAGGACGGCGGTAAAAGTAAAGGGCGGCGTTTAAAGCGCGTCCTACGTTTGTCGCGACGCGCGCGCACACGGATATTTAAATTGTTGCCCGTGATCGACACGTGCGACACGCGGTCCGTCGCGTGCCGCACGCGTTGGGATCGCCGTTACGTCATGCTCGCATTTTCGATCACCCCGACGCGCGTGCATTCAGCGAACCCTCCCCGTCCTGATTCATCCATCCATCCATCCATCCATGGATTGAGTACCTTTTACTTTACAACCGGATATTATCTCTCTCTCTTTCGCGCCGTACTCTCTCGATCGCCGCATCGATCGCCGCCGCGCGTGTCGCGTGTCGTTACCTCGTCTTTCGCCTCTCACTCGAAACGCGATTTCGGACGGGACGGGGAAGCGTGCTAGACATTATTGTAAAAAATTGGAAATAAAGTTGTTTTTCGTGACGTAGCGCGTCATATTGATCTATGTGGGTGATTTAACGTTCTCGAATTGTGAGACGATGCTTTTTCAGTCCTTCCAGACGACTAATTATCGTATTTTCGGAAAAATATGTAGAGGAGGGTCCTCGGTTATGAGATAGGATTCTAATGAGACAGTAGGTTTTCAACGTCCAAATTGAATCACGAATCTTTTTTCGCAACGATTACACGATCTAACCATCAATTTTTCGCTAAACAGATTTCACTCCAAGGGCAATAAATTTATGGTGGAACCAACAGATGACGCCTATTAATTTAGCAGAAACTCCGCGCTGTCTCATATTAGAAGTCTATCTTGTATTAGGGGACTACTTTTAGAAGTGTCTCAAAATGTTTTGAAAAAATTTGTTTTAGAAACGTTGTAATTTATTTTCAAAACAAATTCTTTGAATTTCTTTTTCGTGAAGAAAGGAATAAGAGTAAGAGATGTCGAATGTTTGATCGTAGACAATGGAGGACTCGCGGGAAGCCCATAAATGGCCTTGAAATAATGACGGCGCCGCTTGCCAGTGCGGCAACGTCGTCGAGTACTATTAATTAGTCGTCTGGCGTTCTAAATAGGTCATCATGTACTTACGACGGCCCGAGGAGATATCTTCGCGGAGTCAGAAATGGACCCGAAGACAATGGACAATTTGCCGCCTACACTTGTCCAATTTTCGTCGAATTAAAGTGTTGCAAATTAATAATAAAAAATTTATTTTCTTTCCTTTTTCAGCCACGTTACGAGTCGCGCAATTTAAAGTCTCTTATAAACTTATTTGTCCGCGGTAAAAGAACCACATATGTAAATTGTGTACGATTTTTCAGTCGCCAGGATATGCCAGGCTATAACGTGATAATTTTGATCGCTAATTTGACGCGAGTGTCGTTGTCAACGACGATTACTTACAATTATTGATTTTAATTGCTGTTAAATACATGGGAGGGAATTTTCTCTTAAAATTTACCCTGAAAATCATGTAATCGTGGGACAACGTGGCATTTTGAAGAACTTATGAGTTTTTTTTTTAAATTTACCATACATTTTACTAGTATAATGACCAGTGAAATGTATGATAAAATTTCAAAAAACTAACAAAATTCTTCGAAATCCCACGATTACAATATTTTCAGGATAAATTTTGAAAGAAATAGCAACGGCAATGATATTCCGCAATTCTGCATTGCGTAAGATTTCTTGTCGCTCAGAGCGCTAAGGATTTCGTGAGCCACGAGGGTCACCGTGCGCCCTCATCGCGAAGTATTCCCGCGTCTCTGCAGAGTGTGTTGTTTTGCGCGTTAAATAATTCTGGGGAGAGATCGGCGACCGAATGAGCATGGTTAATTGCGTTAACTAACGACGCTAATGGCACACGCGGAAGAACACTCGGGAGCTCGGGGGCTTCGTTACAATGTGCCGGGGTGAAACAAGGTGGAAACTGTGATACGGGGTCAGGTGTGCGCGCTGAATACAGAGTGAGCGCAAAAAAAACCGTGATAATCCAGGCTACTAATTTATATTATTCAGTGCTTACTGGGGATTACTTTTTAATCTAAATTTAAATTTACACGATAGAATCAAAATTGCTATTAATAGAAATTTTACATATATAAAAAGAGAAGACGGGTTATACGTCACGAAATCGTACATGTCTCTTCTGTGTATCGTGTAATAAAAATTTTTACGCATTCTCTGCCTCTCTCTCTCTCTCTTGCGGATGCCAGAAGAAGATCCGCGGCTCGCAAACGCGATTTGCTCGTTGGAGTATTATACGCGAATTTAGGACCCGGCGTGCCTTCGGGGTCCTCGTGTCTATCCCTACGGAATAATGGAGCCACCGCGAGCGACGTATTTTCGTGTAAAACATCGCTTTGCGTTGTTTTGCCGCGGCAAATAAAGATCCCGGGGGGATCGCATAAAATACTGCGGCGCGCGTAAAGACGGTGAGGGACCGCGCTAATTGGCGACGTTAATGACACTCGCGGCCGGTGCTCTACTTTAATCTAATAACGGGAGTCCGCTCTGTAAAGGATAATCATCCCGCTTGTCCCTCGGCCAATCTGTCGCGGCCGCGGAAAAAAGTTTATGCCCGCAAAGCGGCGCGGCCGAATGCGGACATTTCACCGCGCGACAAAGCGGCTCAATTAAAGACGCCGCGCTGCTTTTTATGTTGTAAAAAATTCATTCAGCATACAGGAATCGTGATTTGCATAGATCCACGTATCGCGCGGGCTTCGCTCAATAAAACGCCTCCGGACGGAGGTTCTACGATTCGAAATCAACGACATTTGGTGGATATGAATAAATTTCCCCGAAGCGTGATATGTGCAGTAGATTATTTATTACGACAAAGCTCTGATCGATAAATTATTTCTACGCGATTATAAATGTCGCAGAATCTTTTCTCTCGGTTTGCCTTTTGCTTTGCGTTCTAGAAATTGGCTCTAGAAGTGGCAATATCCGAGCTGTTCCCGTTTGATCTCCGAAATCAAGGCGAACGTACTACCATCGTTGACGCAACCACGTCGGTTTAAAATCAATTTGCCATTTCGCGTGCTTACGATAACGGCCACGCTCGTAATACCCGAGTTCGACGTGAATTAAATCCGCGTCCGGACGATGCCCGGCCCGCCCAACCACGTACCGTCGTCGACAACAATTGCATTGACATTCATAACTGGTCGACGTCGATCCAGTCCGAATTAGAGATTCGCCCGGTGACCCGTGATGCTACAACGATTGTTTCGAACCGATTGCATGCTTCGTCATGGCTGGGAAATGCCAAAGCGTGCACCGCTATTTCGTGCGAAACTGTCGAAAACGCATACTCTCCAGCACTCGTCGCATGTGGGCTAATCGTAGCGGTGATGGTTAATGACGCGGCACATTGAGTGTAAAAAAATATAACAATTGAAAGACATATCTTCTAATCGAGCTATGTCTGTCGAGGTCTATGCTTTTTCAAGTGGAAAACGTGCGCACCAGATCGCGCGTTAACTTTTCTTCCGAGTATCGCGTCAGTTTTGATCGTAACGTTTGCAGCATCCCTAAAACTATTAAACCGAGACACACGACCCCGTGGTTCTCGGTTTAAACAGCCGATATCCCCGTCGGACGTAGGAATGCAACTACGACAAATCGAAATAACAACGGCGCAATTTCACGGTGGGTCGGCCGTTGTCGAGGGCGCGCGTCATATATCGTCCGTGGAATAATTACTATAGCGGAAGGACCGACGTCTCTCGCTGTCGAACGGACCGTCTGGAATTCCCGGATCGAACTCGCCGAGGCGAAGCGTCCATTCTGCGAATGCCAAGGTGAATGTACACCAACGGCGGTACACCGGGGTGAGTACATGAACGCGAGAGCGTACGCGCGCGCGCGAGTGCGATTGCACCCCCCGACGACCCCCGGGGGAGGTGTGTGCAGTTGCGGCGGGTCGGATGCACGCGGCACCGGTCCGTAAAGTAATAAAGGAGTCGCGATATGCTGCGGTACGCGCTGCAGGAAATGCACGCGCTGCCACTGGGGCACGATCTCGGCGTATAATAGCACCGCAACGCGACAGCACGAAGGCGTGAAATACGCGTGGGAGAGGGTGTGGACACGTGGCCCGGGACTATCGGGGACCGATCGAATTATCTTTCCTGAAAGCTCGAGGCTTCCCGACTGCGAGCCCGGGGAAATGGTCAATTTTAAACATTTATTTTGGCGAATTGACGAGACGCCCGCTTAGAGTGTAGGGAAGTCCAGGTTCAAACCCTGGCTGCGGTAATATTTTTCGCAATAAACTTCTTTAATTAGAATCGAGGGGGAGATCGCTGACCAAAATCTCGTACACCAATGCCCAGTGGGCATTACTTTATCTTATCATATTATTTTGTCTTATTTATCTCGTTTTATTTTATTATATTTTTATAATGCCCCAGCAAGGCCTAATGTCCAAACTAATGCCCAAAAATGCCTAGTAATGCCCAGTAATGCCGCAAATCTGTACACCACAATGCCCTCAGCGGTTTCCCCCTCGAATAGAATTTGCCAGTTAGCGCTTAACAATTTCTCTACATTGATCAATTTATATAATTCATAGCCAACCTTTAATTTGTTTTATAAGTTATTGCTAATCTTCAATTGAGCTGACAATGAGATATGCCGGAGGGAGATTAGCTCCGAGCACGTCGTATCGTGTTATTTTACCATTAAACGGACTCTAAGGGTAATCGTTGTCAACGTTTGAACACGGCTAGATAAATCGCGCCATTAACGAGAATTTATTTTAATTACCGCGCGTAATATCTTTTTTTATTGTTGCGGCCCGGTGGCATCGCCGTCGTCACTCTTCGCGTAATGTGACACTCAATGGTCGACATGATCTGGAATTTACACGGGTCGCTCCGCCGCGCCGGCGTCCAAAACGAGGACCCGATAGCTTTATCGCGCCACGCAGTCTCGCGAGATGCATCCCTCCGCCTCGAGAATTTCAAACGAATGGAAATGGCCCCGGCGACGAAATCTGCCAACACCCACGGCTCTCGATAAACCGCGAAGCCGTGTCCCGCTCCACCTGCGCGCGTAACTAAAACGTTGAACCGAAAAACGACCGGCGTTCAATCGCGACCGACATTCATCATTTAGCCGGAAGCCGTCGTTCATTAATTAGCCGCCGAGAGGCGGCGAAGCTGCGTCGCGGTGAGCTAATTTGAATGTCGGTGTCGCGTTGAATATGGATGCCATGAATTATTCGACATTCTTCGCGATTATTAATCGACCGTGAGTTTTTCGAGCGCCGCGTGCCGCGAGATTAATTAAACCCCCTTTTTGTTGTCTGACGGGGGAGGGAGGGAAGGAGGGCGCGTGCAAAAAGGTCTCCGTGTCAAGCTGCTCCCGGCGTGGAAAAAAAATAACGCTTACGATGCCGGCGGGTCGCCCGTTGTACGTACAAAGGCGCGCGCCGTCAGTTTTCGCCCCGCCCGCGCCGCCG